TACAGAAGTTCTTTCGGAAATATTTTAGTGCGTGGCCTCCTTCATCACCTTTGGGTGATGAAATGCAGAAACATATACCGAGAGGGAGCTACGCAGTGCACCCGCTGTTCGGGAAGGATCGTCATAATACTGAGATAGTTCTTTTCTGAAGTTTTTGAAGGGATTACATTACGACGCGTGGCAAGGTACGCTAGCTTTCGTCAGCTCGATGAAGTGGTGGGTTGGTCATCTAATCCATGTGGTCATTTAGTGTATACATTACAGAACCTTCCATTAAGCGCAACAAATCGGGTCTCAGAAGTTTCATAATTGGTTATGTTCCCAGCTTCGGGGTCTTACAGTGTATCCCTCGTGACCAATGGCTTAGAGGAGAGTCATTGGTTCAGGTTAATTCAATGTCGTGATACAGCTTATTGAAAAAGATTTTTAATTGCTCAGCACCTGGCTACCAAATTGGATCTCTTAATTCTCACACCTTTCAACCAGGCAGCTTCATGAAAGGTATTCGCATGTGACCATCCATATATTCATTGTGCTGCCAGCCGGGGGACTAAGATTTTAACCACATGGAATTTCCGGCTAGCAAAGTGACCGTTCTGAGGCTCCCCGAACATTTTTCTTCATTGACTTCCAGCAGTTATACGCCGACATACTCAGTAGCCTTCTAGGGTGATAACAGTTTGGATGACTATACCGATTGCAATATGTGCCTGGTTCTGGCTAGGCAACCTAGCAGATGTCAACTGGTTCACATTTCCTGGGTCACAAATGCACCGCCAAATAATCCGTTTACCGACGATTTACCGGTTGGGGCTTAAGAACGTCGATGAGGTGCCACTTGCAACTTACATAGATGCATGGGTCAACCGCTAATTATTCGGCCCTGTCGCAAACTCAAGGGTTAAGGACCAAGAAGGAGAATCATTGGGTAGCCAATTATAAATCGTACAATTGTTGATACCCACCGATGCGCCAATATATGTTATCCGGCTGGTTCGGAGATTGTTAACAAGAAGAACAGGGTTGTGTTACCAGCTGAAAAATGATGTAGGCGACTGCTCAGGTGTGGTCAGCTTCACAAGTTCGTTATAACCATGAGAGTCGGCAAAAGCGTTGAATATCGTTTAAACCGAGTGTTTTGACGTCGAGTTATTCGCCGCTCCAGTTACGAGACCATGGAAAGTAACGATTTGGTTATTGGAGAGAAACCGTAAATTTATAGTAGCATATCGAGAAACCAAGATGCTTGGCCCCGTTTGATTCTGAATCTCAATTTGAAAATGTCTACTTAGCGAAAATAATACCTGTTCTATGACCTCAAGAAATGTTGGACCACCCTCAACCTTTCGCGGTGTCTGAAACATCTTCACAACCAACCCACCAACTGGTCAGGATGCTCAGGGTGACGATCCGTCTAAACCTTTCCAACCGTTATAGTAGCAGCGATGTTCTAGAAAAATGATTAAAACAGGGACCAACCTACCTACAGGCTCGGAATACGATTTACCTGCATTAGCTCCACACCACATGTTTTCTGGTACTCTGTATCAGGCGATCGTTTTAAATGGAAATCACTATGTTTCAGACAAACCCCTCAAATGATGCTGCTCACGCCAAAACGGATGATGCCCCACATTTGTGCATGACTACTGGCATTTGGACGATTAACCGTTTCAACGTCTATTTCCATGTACTACAACAAGTGTTCCCGACCGCATTAATCTATATTGCTTTTAGATACAACATGGTGGACCGGAAATACATTGATTCTGCCATTTACCTTGGTTATATAACTGTGGATACTTTACTCATTCACTAGATTGTATGCACGAGTCCTTTGCGGTTAGTGAGGATAAAAAATGAAGAACGTTCTAATGAATAGACGGTTATGTTGCCAAATAACAAAGTATGCAGATGGGCCAACCATCTTGGCTGGCTATAACGCAAACTTTGAACATTTCGCACCTTTGACCTCATTGGTGGAACTTATGCGTATGGAGGAAGATGGAAAATTCATGCCCATCTCTCAAATTACAGCACGTTTCAGTATGACCATCCACACCAATGACTTGGTATGTGAGCTACTCAATACGAAGTACCGTTTTACAGGCTTACCAAGATTGTCAGTTCGATGGTGTCTATAATGTGGTATCTCCCATGTTAAATCTGCCATATAGGATTAGAAATTAGGATTATCATGCAGTAGGATTCGAGGCAAGTGACAACGCAGCGTGGTCAGCGAATAACATGGGGGTTGGAAAAAACTAACGTTAAAATTTATATGGCTCATGAACATCACTGGATGACAGTCAAGTGTAAAACATTGGCTTCGAGGATTTACACACAAACTGCGAGGGAATTAATCGCCGTCTGTTTATAGCTCATGGCCAATAGAGGCTTTTCATCGGTTTACCAGCACTGTGAACTAGCTGGAGACACCAACAAGGTGACGAATCCTGAAAAGGTCCGCTTGGTGGTAACAACACCCAGAAAGCGGACCTTCTGGCTGAACCGGGGCATTGAGCGCCTGCTAAAAGTCATGAGGAAAGCATGGTATAAGTGGAGGCTTTCCAGAGAAGAGGCGGATCTCAAAGCACACACGGGTTCATGAGGTCGACGCAACATCGGGGCGCTGACAGATAGGAAATCGTTCCAGTACAACCTTGTCCAGGGGCTCGAGGTGGATTCAAAGGATGTGCACCGATCCTAGTGAGGAGAAAATCTACTAGCTATGGGGCATGCGTCGTCAAAGGTGAGAACGGAGAAAACCTCTCTGGACAGGAGACGGCTGTAATGTTAAGCACTACCTTTGATACACATCGCAACGTACCATCGCACAGGCACGCGTTCTCACAGCCTGAAAACCCCCACGTTTTCTGACGCAGCGGAGTCGGGCGAACCAAGGTAAATCACGCCGTTGGTTTTCGTAAACTATCAAAGTCAAGTGAGAAAATCATCGGGATGCGACGATGCTCTACCATCTGTGTTGAAAAAATGTGCGAGTGCCTTTTGTGGCCCACTCTGCAACCTTTGTCAACGGCCCTTTGATGAACAAGGGCTGCCACAGGGGTGGAAGCGCGCCATCACGTTCCCTATCTTCACAGGAGGAGACAGACAGAACCCGAACTGCTACGAACCCATACCACTTTCACCGGTAACATCAAAAGTTATAAAGGGTGTGATAGGCGAGCACATCAGAGAATGCCTGGGTACGAAGCAGGCACTCAGCGATGTTCAACACGGCCACCAAAGTGGTGAGTCCTGAGCCTGCAACTTCCTAGCGGCTAGTGACCACCGGAAAATGTGTTGGGACTCCAAGATCCCGGTTCACACGATTTTTCTAGATTTCACCAAAGCCTTTGACATGGTCTCATGCAGTCCTGATGCAAAAAGTGGCTGGGTTGGGTGTCCACCGCCAAGGGCTATTATGGCTACAGAGCTGCTTAGACGGTAGGAAGTTCCACACGAAAATCACAAGCGTTCATTCAACCTGGAGAACATCAGCTCCCAGTGTGCCACAAAGGACGATTCTAGGTCTTTCGTTGTTTCTGCTCTCCAAGGATGGCCTCCTGCTGTACGCCGGCTCCCCGATTCTCCTTCATATCAACGATGCCAAGTCGTGGAGAGTAGTTACGTGCTAAACGCAATCAAAGCCACCACAGAACGACCTCGAAACACTAGGGGAGTGAGCTAAAAGTGACAAAGTAGAGTCATCAAAACTATTCTGCTCGGTCTGTGGTTCACATCTCCTTCATATCACCGCAGAGGAAAATCCGGGCGTGGTGGTAACGGAGAAACTGGACAACAGTTCCCATTACCTGGGTTGCGCCTGATAAGAATGCGGTGTACCGCGGTTTGTGCGTAAACAACTAGATGGTCTCATCCAAGAGCTGTCTTTGAACTTTACAAGATTTGCACACGACCCTGCTTGGAGGCTTTCTTTTCATCACACCTGAAAAGAAACCCGAGCCTCCTGGAGGAAGTTTGAAGATGAGCGTGTCGAACAGGTGTGCTAGAAACCATGCAAGGATGGGCCAAGGGGCCTAGGCCTTTGTTCTCTTAGTTACCAAAGGTTACGAAGTGATTTTACGGTGGCTTACAAGATACTATATGACCGAAGCTACCCGAACAGACTGATATTAGCAAGTAATGATGCTCGTGGAAGCCCACGGAGAACTGTCCACCAAGGGTCAACAAAGCGTACGCATTGACCCTTCTTCTCTCTTCAAGCCTAGGAAAACTATGGTGGATTACTTGCAAGGGCAGTCTCCACTCCAACTGCCCATAGGTTCAAGAAAGGGCTGGATAGTTACATAGTGAGCCATGGTTTACGCTAATCTAGTTGGAATATGAACTAGGCTGAAGAAATCAGCTGCTGCAGCATCGTTTCAACACTGTTATCTCTACAACGACTCTGTTTCCACCCTAACCACTGAAGTTTTTCCCACCTCTCTGACTTACCACGACTAAACCTCACTCCTCAAGCCCTGCACATCTTTCCACCCCTCTCGTCTTACTCTGGTGTACTTAGATCACTACATCATCTCATATTTCTTCGCCTTTCGGTCACACACATTCGTCCTCCTAGGTAGTCTCCACAATATCCGTAACCCTGTCTTACGACCAGTCTAAACAACTGTCTGGCAAATCGACATCTGAAGAACCCAATTTCATCGCATTCACAGGCGAACTAACCAACATCCAACCATCTGTAGGTTACACAACACCTGTAGATGAATGGCTGGATCCACCGTATTGGGACCCAACAAAGACCTGGAACCGTCCCGCAAGACCCAGAAGCAAGCACAAAAGCTCATTAAGGAGATATCGGATATTGACATTCCTACTGGTAGAAGACTCAATGTAAAACGTCTGCTCGAAGAAATCTTGTTTCTTAGGCATTGAAATGTTATCTGAAGTTATAACTTCAAAAATTAGTTATGTTGTGTCCACTATCAATTGTTTCTCAACCTGGAAATGCTTTTAATACACTAAATTCTATCTGCTCTCAAAGTAGCGCAATAACTTTGTTTATACCCGGCCTGTCAAACAAACTTATTTATGACTCAAACAGTAACACGGTACAGTATATCTATCGATGACGGCTTTGTCAGGGAAAGCACAACATTCAGAGAATTGAGTAGCAATGCTAAATGCATACTTGCCGATATACTGTCAATAACGAATGGGGACTTAGCAAAGACAGCCTCCTTCTTGGATAGGCTTTTAAACGAAACTCAAGCGAAAATACAACTTCTTGCAGACAATGATATGAGTGATGAGGAGTTCTATGTGAAGCTAACTAAGTTAAAAACCGAGCATAGAGATACTCTTGATATTATTGAGAAACTTTATCTGAGTCCGGACATACATCCTGAGGAAGAAAACAATACTTTCTATGAATATACAGAAAATGCAGTTCATCAAGACAATTGTTACAGGTAGATTCAGCTGCTGAGATTCATCGTAATCGATCAATTGTCTAGCGGGAAAGAGAAGTGTCGAAATAAACAAATGCTAGAGGAAGAGTTAGACTGTGAACCTAGTGAAAATAATGTGTGCTTGTCTCGAGAAAATGAATGTCGGAGTTTGAGATCTCGAGAAAGTTATCTTGGTGACTCAAGAAAAAGTGGGTAAAGTGTTTTTGGCATGAATCTTGTTAACTTCTCTTCCTTTCTAAAAGTAAGCCTTCATAAGTAAAAATGTAGTTACCAAAAATGATGCCAGTTTTAGCGTCTTTTTCCCTTCAGAAGCCTAAAACCAACGGAACGCGCTCCATCTATGCATATGTATGTACTTAAGTTGGAAATGTTTGCAAAATCTACTGTGTACTCTTAAATCAGTTATCAATAGTGTTTAGTGCGGATGATGAATTATACTCATTCGACGGTTTTTGTTCGCACATAAATCATGTTATTTAATTGACACCAATTCATGAAAAACTGCCTAAAAATGATAAATTGATCACCACTAGTGACTGAGAATTTCTGTGTAATATATTGTCCGAATCCTCTTTCTGTATCTTGTGGAAATGTACTTTCTTCATGTTAACGCAAATTATACTGCAGAATTTCGCACTCGTTTTAACCATCTGTCTGCAGTGTATAGTCACTGAAAGGACGTTGTACAAAATCTATAACATCTTATGTATTCTCGAAACGTGTCTTGCTCAGAATGAATGGTATCGTGGGTAAGGTAGACTAGTGTGTTACCATTCTTGACATTGGCATACACCCATTCATTAACACACTCAAAATATACTGCCACTTAGTATGTGGGAATAAAAACGAACGAACAGTCTTCTCGGCGTTATGTGAAACCAGTGTCCCGAGTCACTGCCAAGTATTTATTTAGATTGCACGAAAAACTGTTGGTCTTCAGATTCAGAACCTAGAAATAGAATTCTCAATGCTACTTTAAAGATTTCTCAGCTGAAGGTATTCTCAATCTCTCAGACTTATTAGCTTTTTACTTTCCTCAAACAACCGGAACTCCGTCAATTCCCATCTTAAATGTTTCGGCTCAGTATTGACATCAACATATACGTCACAAAAATCAGTACGAAAACATTATGGTCACAAACTAAGAAGAGTGAAGACATAATAAAAAGATGATTAGCAAATGAGATCGACATGAAATACTTAGACTATCTTCCAGTGCTTTTTGATATTGGAAGAAACTCACAGTATGATTATCTCTGAAACCACTGGCCAGCTATATTTCTTAAAATGTTGGCTTACTTAGCTGTGTGCTTTTTAAGTGCTTATGCAGTAATTACTGATAAACCAATAAATGTTAATGGGTATGAACATTTCTCATCTTATGATGCCGTGTCATAGGATGATCGTTCTTCAATTTTTTTACTCAGTATTTCTGCGGAGCAAGTGAGCAGTCCCACGGCTGAAAAGCTGGTAGGATATGCAAAGTCGTTAGACCTCCTCAGCTACAACAGCCTCGTGCTGTAAGATAGGCGTTGTATTTGTTCACCCAACCCTTTAAAGCTGCGTGTAACGATGAACCGTGAAAAGTCACTCTGATGATCTCCATAAGTACAGTTTTGCTTTAGAGTATCATATTTTAGGTTAAACCAATAACCATATTGTACCTAATCTTTTTACGCACCTAGTATTTTCTACTGGATATAAATAAATATATTTGTATATTCTGTATTAGCTGTAGTGTGCAGCAGTGTGCGACCGTAATTTGTACGGACACCGATGTTTTAATCCCTTGGTTTTGACGTGTGTGCACAAAACAGCTGGGGACCCAAGATTTTCCCTAAATTTTCAGACGATTTCTTGAGATCAGTAATAGCAATAATAATTGGAAAGATGCCTTTTTAACAAGTTACTTGTGGTAATCGCCTTTAGTTTCTTATCTGTCTTATCTCACCGTAAAACTTTGATAGGTAAAAACGCATGCAATAATTAGTTTTCTACTTTTATATTGTGAATGTAGCACGTCTTCTTTCTAACTAGTCAGGATTTATGTGGAACTCGCCAGTAGTGCATAACGGTCAAAGTCATCGCACCTCAAGAAAGAAGGTACTAAGACGAAAGAAGAGTAAGGAAGAAATTTGTTAAGGGTAGTGGAAAGTTATGAGAAAAAATCAAAAGAAATAGTGCGATTTGGAAATTTGGCAGGACTTATGCATTGAAGATAGTATAAAGATGCATCTGCACAAGTGGGATAGACTGTAAGTCATACCAACTACCCCATGAAGCTAACGACTTTAGTTGTTACATAGATTCCAACTGAAAGGTCTATATTTCCTTACATCGCTCAGATCAATGGTTAGATAATCCACAGAATAATCCTCTGCTGCAGTTCGGCTGTCTCTTAACTTCTTGTAGCCTAGGTCTGTTTCAGCTAAAATTGCGTAACTTGGCAGAAGGTGACTAGGTATGCGCAAAACAAGTCCCAGCAATCAGACTGGTTGAAAGCTTGCAGTCTCATCAATTGAATTCCCTATTCTTCCCCAAAACTCTACTTCTGAATTCTGCTTTAAACACATATTTGTACCACGACACATTGCCTGTTACATCTATCTTTTGACTGTTTGACCGATATTCTGATCATAACCTCGGTTCAGGTCTCTTGCTAGGTTCTATGACTTACAGATTTAAGGAAATGCCCAAACGCAGGTCTTAATGATTGTTATCCCCCGAGTTGCTATATGTGTGTTCATCCCGCAAACACTAACGTCACACCAGCTGACTCAGAGAGAAGACGAATTTATTTGGACAGCATACACTATGGACAATTATTTGTAGTTAGCACAATATACAGGAAGCGTGCAAAACCTAAAGGCCTAGTGGGGCAAATTAGAATATCAAAGAATGAAGAGGAAGTCAGACATATGAAGGACATTCGTAATTGACCAATCGTAGTTCTCATTCTTTCTGGCTACAGACATAACATGACCAAAGGTATGAAGGTAATGGTAATCAAACAAACCATGTTTTCTCATGTCTTTCACCTGTAATAGTCATGTTTCACAGTTAGTTGGTGAGAAACAGCAAAATGCTGCACAGTAAACCCGGTCCTAAAACGCGGTTGCACAACAAGTTGGTGTCGTAAGTAGAATCAGTTTGCGAAAGTCAGTTGGGCCTTTTGTACGTGTCCTGAGCTTTCGTTGATCACTGACCCACCAGAGCTAAGCTGAGTTTTTAAGTGAAGGAAATCTTCAACGAGCTCAACTAGTTAACTCTTTATTATCAGTTGAAACACCAACTGAGATCGGTAGTGTTGTGACCGTTCGAGTTTCTATCTAGAAAATAGCATCTTAAAAACCTTTTCAAACTGCAACTCATGGCGACCAGAAGACATAGCATCTTGTGAGCCTCTTTGCCTAACAGGACTATGCCATCCGCAGTCTCTAGAACTACTAAAGATTCTGTTGTAATAGAATCAGTCCCTGTAAAGTCGGATGATGAGAGGGAGATATCCCTGGGTACGTCTGTCATAAAACTAAATAAAATCTGAGAGAGTGGATATCCTTGATAGACACCACTCGATGTATGCAACTGACGTGATGCCTTAGCATAAGTTCTGAAACACCCACAAATGCTGAAACAGCCTTCATAACAATGCATTTATCCGCCACTTCTTTCATAGGGATACACTGTCATAAAACCTCTTATCTAATACCAACCGGAAGCTAAGAAATACAGCTGGTGTCGGCGCCTGTAAGTGTGCTTATGTTCTAAGACTTGGAGAGGGATGAATAACTGGTCAAAAGACCTCTAACCAGATCTTAAACTTGCCTGGTTTCCTCAAACTCGCTTTTCCTGAGCTTCATTTAGACATCGCGTAGTTACAGAACCAAGGATTTCGGACGCTATATTTGTCAGACAGACTCCTTTGTGATTATCACAGAAAAATGTAGCTTCTTTATTGAAGACTGTGATAACCACTGACCTAGGCCAGCCAAAGAGGATCATATCTAATTCTTGTACACCAGCTAACATTCTGGTAATTAGAGTCAATAATTCTTGGCCGAATTCCTGAAATGCTTTTGTTACTAGCCCATCTTCGCCTATTTCCCTCACTTGTTTCAAGTAACCTGCAGCCTTCTGGAATTTTACGGATGTTTTAGGGCCTGTCTTATTATTTTATTGAGGATAATATTACTTGACATTCGTCGAATCCTATAATCATCCTGTACCCTAACTAGGTTATAAGTCAAACTACAGTTACAGTTGAACTACAGGGTGCCTAAAGTAATCAAGCAGATTTAGTAAAACCACTAAATGTCTGTTTTCTACCAAGAGATTGGATTCAATGTTACAGTGTCAGTGGAACTGTTGGAAGCAGTAGGACCGCCCTTAATTCTACTTAGTGACCACAAGGATATAATGCAGGAACAATTTGTGTGCGTACGGCTCAAATACAGAATGTTGGATAGTTTATTCGCACAGTATGTCTAAAACACATACAATAATCGTGAGTTAAAAAATAAGTCAAAAAATTTCCTCGCAGTGTTGCGTGCTTAGTTCTTTTTTTCCACCTCAAGCAACTGCATTTGTCTTAAATTATAGATTGAGGTTAACTAAGCTGAATAGGTCATGTTTTCTGTCAGTAGGTCTTGTAGTAAGTTTATGGAATATTGTTCAGTATTTATCTCTGTTTCCACAGAAAATCTTCTCAGCATTTGGTTCTCTTAGTCTTTCTTCTTACTTGATTTTGATTTGTTCTAGAAATAAATGAAAACGAGATAAACAATGGTGATCATGATAATAACAGTTCTTATCATGACTTCAGTACATCACCTGCATCCTGGAAACATCACATCACAGTACCAGAACCATTTGAAATGACAAAGCGGGAAGAAGCCATCAAGAAAATAAGAAACATACGGTCTGAAAATAAAGTTTCTCAACTTTCTGCTTTTGATGGTGATGAGGATAAGTACTGCTGTACGCAGTTCAAGGCAAAACCAATACCTTCACACGTGTACTTACCATTGTATGAAAAATTGATGGAACAAAATGCTTTAAAACGTGAAGCAGTTAGAGCGTACAGCAAAGAAATTTTGAAGGCCACTGAAAAGCCGTTTTCTTTTACAGTAAGGGAAAAGCTGAAAAGAGAGAAAAATGAGTAAGAAAAACGTTTTTTACCTTGCTTAACTTACGTTTATTGGATAAACGAGCAAACTTTACTATCTGCGTTAGCCTTACCTGTTTGGATGGCGTATCAGGTTTTATATTTCGAGTGGGATTATGACCATACAGTCTAAAAAATGCTGCTTACAGATAGATAATCAGAGGTTATGTAAAAGGACCTTCGTAAGTGGTCCTTCTACGGCTTGTCCTACTGATATTTCGCATTCACGTTTTCTACTTATCTAGACACAACTAGAAGCACGACGTAAGGTGTTGGTAAATAAATCCGACAGCATATAAATGCTGAGGCTTTATGTGGTTTGACAGGTTTAATAATAATAATAATAATAATAATAATAATAATAATAATAATAATAATGGTAATCGCTTTATTCCAAATCATATGTATGACAGTCTGGAATTCTCAGCATGTAATTTTTCAACAAACTCACTACCAGAATAATACTTTCAGACGAAATAGTTATTGCATCTGCACGGGGTTAATAGTAACAGTGTTCAAGGCAATAATGTGAAATAGCCAGCTAGTTCTGGATGGGCATCCGGTTCATAATGAAGAATCAACCGAAATACAAGCGTAATTTTGGTGGTAGTGGTGGTGGTTGCTTCAGACGGTGCAAAAATCTGAAATGCAGGCTAATCACTTGACGGATAGAAATATGATGTGCTTTTGTGCACTGAAAAGTCCATTTCCACATAACATTTTTCCTCTGCTTTATTATTAACTCGAGATTTAGAGAGTTGAAAGCAGTTTAAAAATGTGCAAGAGTACATGATATGTTACAAGATTCAAATTCAGATCAGATTCAGATTTGTTGTTTGAGGATAGGAGGCTGGGAGCCTATATTAATCCTTTTCCAGTAGATTCCTCTCCTTGTCCAATCCCCTTTTAAACAAGTCAATTAATGATGCGGACACCACTTCTTCTGGAAGTCGGTTCCAGACATTGATTACTCGACACGAGAACCAGTACTCTGCAGATATATTTAAATGATTAAAACAAATTGGAAGGAAAGAATTTGATGAAAAATGTTCGGTGGATAAATTTGGTAGCTCAAGGTTTAAGATAAGTCACTGGTTTATGTCGTTACTGAGAGGTAAAATGATAATCTCTAAAAATTGTAGTAGTTGCACTTTCCGAAATATATTTTTATTCAAAAGTAATATCAACCAATAAGTTTGGCATTAAAATAATTACACTAAACATTGGGGTTGATATTCTTCTGTGAATGATGCATAGTTAGGTTTTTAGAAATGACGATATTGGGTCTAGAAGGACTTACATAATTTTTGTTTACCCTGATGTCACAACGTAGTTTGTCCTCTTAAAGGAATATGAAGAATTCTAGTTTTACAGAATAGTGATGAATGTATGATAACAGTACTCACAAATTATACAAAGGAATTTGTAGTGTTGACCCAACATAACTTGATGAAAATTAATTTTCATTATATAATAAGAAAGGAGACAAATAAAAAAGACTGTATTTTAAAAGATAATGTACCGCTTGCGCTTCTATTAATCACTAACTTCTGTAGCTTACTCTGGTCTCTAGCAGAATCTATGGATGCTTTTTCTAAAATAATCATAAAACTGTTTTGTTTACATTTTCTTATACTTCATTTTAAAGTTTAATATGAACGATTGTTGAAGAAATTATTCATAAACTAATGAATTAAGTTTGAAAAAGTGAATGTAGAAACATCAATTAAAACATTTGTTTACTGTTTTTTAGCTTTAGTCAGGATATAAGTAAACACTATTATATTGATAAGAAACCTCTACAGTCAAAAGACAACAAGTCTTTGGATCCTTTAAACCTACCATTACAGTTATATGAAAGGAGGTTTGAGCGTATGCAAGAAGATCTATTGTTGAATGAAGTTAAACGTCAGTTACGTGCTCAAAGACTTTTACAGTCAGCATCTTTACCACCTGGTATGGAAGAACGCCAACATCGTATGAATATGCGTAAACTTGAAAGAAAAGCTAGAGATAAAAGACTGAACAGGATTAGTAAGTTCCAGTATTTTTTTTTCTTAAGATGCTACTTTTACTCATAGTGCTCGATAAAATTAGTAATCATAAAAAGTCTATATTGACTGATCAGTGGAGGGTAACCGATTTCGTGTTGTCTAGTTTTGAATTCTGACGAAATTCTGTTGACTATTCACAGTATCGCTAACAAGCTGCGATAAATGTTTACTGATATTAGGTGACTGTAGGTAATTGGTTAGAACTTAGGACTAGACCATATGAAATTAGTTAGCCTCCAGTGACCAATTAATCTATCTAATCCATTTACACAGGAGGTAACTGACGGGTATAATAGCTCAATGGTAACGTCTCTGACTCCTGCAATAGATAACTTGTGTCTGAATCTCTGAAATGACATCAGTCCTTTTAAAGTTGGAAACGTGACCTGTTAATGAGTGCCAACAAACACGAAACCAGGCTCCAGGGCTTCTTGTAGATTATCCTCAACCACCTAACATATACCATCTACATCAGAATAATTGTAAAATTTAGGAAAATCTAGATACTGAACGATTGTGTCGTCTACTTAAAGCCAGGTTTGCTGCTGCCATGTCCAGATGAATTTGACTTGAAGATGTAGGATGTTTCGAGTACCTGAATTTAGCCAAGCCGTTAGCTGGCTGTACGAAGTTTTGCGTTTGAAATTTGCAGAATATTCATATATCGCAAGTCTTAGGGTTACATTTCACGAAGTTAAGTAATTCTCACTAATAAACAATGATGTCAACAAGGTTTACGATGGAAACCGCATAAGCATAGACAGTATGAAATAATAAGCTAAATATCCCTATTAATGTTGTTGCTTGTATTATCCCGTCGTTGAGTGAACCGAGTTGATCGGTCTCTAATGGCATATGGACTCCTGCGTGGATGCCTCGATATCGCCTGTATCTGAGTTATATATTAATGATGAATGGTGGCTAGCAGTGGAATCCATGACGTACATTTCATCCTACTCTGGACTTTTTAACTGGACCCACCTGCTTTCCAGTTGGGGATGTTGTTCCCACCAGAACTCAAACTCGGGACCGACCGATTTAAACGCCGGAGCGTTATCCTTTTAGACCACCTGGTCATAATAGTCACTTCTTGTCCAACGGGAAGAGTTTTAATGCAGTTATGTCGATCCAGACTGATGAGTTTGGTCCACTCAACGACGGGATAATACAAGCAACAACATTAAGACTACATCCGTAGCACAAGAAGTGGGTACTGTGACTCGATGATCTAGTGGATAACCCTCTAGTGTTTGAAGGGGTTGGTTCTGATTTTGAGTCCTGGTGGAAACAACATCGCTTACTGGGAAGCAGGTACCTCCGCCTGACAAGTCTGGACTAGGACGAAATGCACCTCATGGATTCCACTGCTAGTCACTATCCATCATTAATAAACGTCACTTTAGTGCGATAGCCATGCAGCAGTTTGATTAGGCTGCTTCCAAGGCGTCCTAATTAGAAGCGATAGACAAGTGAATTCTATTCAGTTGTTAAGTAATACTGATCACTTCAGTCAACTAAATAATTGTATGCTTGAGTAATTGGCTGGTACCCAAATTTGATATTATACATTACTGAATTTGTCATCTGTTTGCAAATATACTCAAAAACTGAGTGTTTTGTCATAGTGAATGGGCTAAGAATTTAAAATTATATTTTTACATTTTAGTCCACTTGGTGGCTAGCAGTGGAGTCCAGGATGCACGGTTAGTCACATTTAAGAATAGTCAGCTGAATGTACCTGAACGGTATTGATTGATGTTGTTCCCCCTAAGACTCAAACCCTTTGCCCATGGTTTCTTTCTACAGATCATGAATTGTTATCATACAATGAATCAGTGGAACGTAGCAAAAACTTAATTAACTTGAAATAATACAGTTAATCTCCTTTTCAAGGTACCACTTTACTTCCAGATAAATGGTTTGAGAATGAATATTTACTTTTTATAAATTTAAACATGTTTTGTTATAGATGTATTAGATTTAGATGATTCAGAGATAGGACAGAAACAATATCATCATTATCATCCAGCTCCTGATTTTAAACAGTTACATTGGAAATCCAGTAAAACACTTCGACGTTTATGGAAACCACCACCAGAGCCAACTAGACCAAAATCATTCAGACTGAGAACAAGTGAACGAGCTAATTCATCTGATCGTCAGTTATCACGTAATCAAAACTTGAAGAAAGATGAAAGGAAAATCTCCCAACCAATTCTACGACAACCAGGTACTAAGTTGAAAATCACAAATAGGTGTTATATTGATTCTAATTTTCTGCTAGTTTTTAGAAACTGGTCGTTTTCAAAACTATAAGTGGTGGAGTACTGTCACGAAGATTTATGCATTAGCGCTGAATTTATTGATATCAGTGTCGAGAGGTTAAAGACAGTTTACAGGACTTCCATATGAGATCATAGTAGCTCACCGGCAGTCTTCTCAGTTTGAGAAATGAAAGATCTGATATTGAGTTTCGATACATGTAAACAAACTATAGTTATAACAAATTGACTACTTTGAATCCTGGAATATGAAATAAATTACACTGTTTATTTGTTTATTTGGCAACTGCCAGTTGAAGTGAAAACAAGAGAATGAGTTTAGTTGTTGTCTCGTAGGTGATTAGAATATAAAAATACATTTTTATTACTTTGCAAAATGGAACCGATATCTCTCCCTGTTTTATTTGACAGGTATCAGCCGTTTCTGTACACTTTATATGAGATCCAAAATATTAGTATTAAAATAATTCAACTGGTCAATAAATAGTCTAATCCTTTTGATTTATAAGTGTTTAAGTGATCCGAAATTTGATTAACACCCGGTGAATCGGATAATTTTAGATGTTACTATGATAAGACTGTCATCATTTATTGAAATTAACATCAGTAGCATATACTATATTTCTAAGGTCGATTTAAACAAAGTTGTTAAGGTTAACAGCTGGAAACACTCACTCTAACATTCTCCCCTTGATTCTTAAACTAATCTTCTTCCTTGTCACACCTTTGTATGGTTCTCATATCCCTACTGCTACTTAAGACTGGAAACTTTAACGCATTATACCTAAAAATATCTCTGCATAGGATTAAGAAGTTCACCACGATTAGCTGCATACTGTATGATTGGTTGCACAGTTGCTTATCTACATGATAAAGCCATAAGAAATGAAGATGGTTTGTTGTCGAAACAACGAAGATCTCTATGAATAAGAATTTTGGTCTTACCAAAAAAGGCAATCTGATTTATCTGTTCATGTGAACTATCTCAGTTTCATCGATTCAATGACAGTGCTTCCACTTTAGCTGGATATGAATTAACAAGTATGTTTGGTTCTCTTAAAATATTTATTTCAATATCTTACTTTTAAAACCGTTCTTAGCATATTATGCTTCTCTCACTGACTTAATTAGCACTAATATGTAAATGTTAGGTGAAATATATCATCCCATTACACCTACCAATTCAAATGCACTTATGGTGACACACACATCGGAAGGACTAATAGATCTATGCAAGTAAGGGCCTCAGAGAATATTTCAAAGTGGCTTCATAAGCAAATTGAATCAACTGAACCCATTAACATTGGTAGCAGACGTCCAAGTTTTTCTGTCGCAAAACATATCTTTGAGACAGGTCACAGGAGTGATGTGGTTACTTCCTTTAGACTTGTTTACAAAACGTGTTGGGTACGGACCCTCAATTTGTTGATGCCTTAGCTATTAGGAAGTTTAAACCACCTTTGTATGACCACAAACAATTTGTGACCGCATTAAATCTTCCTTGGAGGATTCAACTCTGAAACTATGTTCGATTCACTATTATTTTTGGTCTATTGATTTTCATTGTTATTTTGGCCTTCAATTCAGCCCCTTAACTCTATGAATTTTCATGTAAACACCTATGACAAGTACCTGTGGGGTCAAATATCTGGAAACCAGTTGCACAAATACATTACATGGTTCAGATAATTCAAGTCTTCTTGGTGTTTTGTTGAAGTTTATGGAGGGAACTAATTGTTTTAGCAATCCATCATGTTGCTTTTAGCCAGTCTAAGCATTAAAGTGGTCATTACCAGTTCTTAGCTAGATTAATTCAGAAATAATCTTTATAAAACTTAGTATTAGTTTATGGTTACAAGGCTCTTTGTCAATCACCTTACAACATTATGATTATCATTTTCGTTCTCCAAGCGACATTGAATTCGCTGATGAGTGTGCAAAGTAACTGACACAAAACCTATTCGAGAGCACATTAGACTCTGAAATATGTGCACTTTGAAGGGGAAAAGGTATGGAGGTAAAAAGAACTAATAAAGTGTACAGATATTCAAATGAAGGAGAGGGGGCAGGACAAATAACGGAAGTATGGATTGATATTCGGGACTGTGAAGAAAAAAAAGAGAGTACAGTGTTTTAACCAAAACTGTGTTTAGGTCATTTTGCTCGTGGTACCGAATAACTGATTCTTGACATCATCAGAACACTAACAAAGTAATCTACATTGCCTTAAATGACTCAGAGTAACCGTTAGTCAACTTCGGATTGGTGCAGTTGTGATCACTTCTCAGTGCCCTTCAGTTAGCTGTTAATGGGTTGTGTTTAGATAGGTAACGATTATGTGTATTAAAACTTTAGAGTTGATGTTGGTTAATCTAATTCCTTTTTGGATGTCATTGAGGAATAGGTACCATTTTTATATTGTGAAATCTCCAACAGTAGAAACCATTCAGAAGGAACTGCTTCTGCCTTCCATAATCCAGTTAGTGGGTTATTTATTCTAACTAAAAAGTTTTTGATTTCGATTCTAAAAATGTCCAGAGGTAAACCATTTAGTCTCTTTGTTTTTCGCCATTTCAATTAGGCCGTTAATAGAGATTGTTAAATGTATTCTGTTCATTGAACATTCTGATGTTATGATGCATTTAATAGTTCTACAGTATTCTTTTTTTACTGAAATTAACTAGCTAAGTGCTGTGTGGAACCAGCCTTATCAAAGTCAACTTTTCTGCGAGAGAATTATATACGGTAGGTATATTTCCTTAAATTACTCAGTTCTAGCTCTCGTTTTATTCAAAAGTTAGAAAATTAATACAGCTGTATGCATTTTGAAGTAACATCCTAGTTTCAGTTACAGTTCATAATAGAATGTTTAGGTGAAAAGTTGGAGGAAGATAGTAACTCAGACTACAACAAGGAAAATTCGCATTAAACCGTATTTTACTTCACATTTGATATTGTTAACTGGTTTCCAACAGGCTATACAGTCTCTGATCCTATCTTGTAATGAGTTATAAGACTGTTCTGTTGTAATGTCATGATAGAAGATGAAAAAGCCACTTCATATATTATGAATTACCTTAGTTGTTCCAATAATATCGTCTCGTAATAACTGTCATCATTAAACGGTATTAGCTTCTCGATATGTTACTGATTGGCATTATACAAGAATATTACTCACATGCATTTTATTCTCAGCAAGTTTCTGGTACTTCCATCCATAATAGGGATTTTTCAATGACTAGGATTTTTAGGTCACCTAAAAACTCATGTGTTGCATACACCTGTTAAGTTGATAGAATTCTAGATGAATATTATGTCTAGCATATCAGACTAAGCCAACAATTGATTGTCTATCATTTTCTAAAATGATGATTTCCTTCCAGTTAATTGTGCTATTCTAGATCTAATATAGATTTTAATGGCAGTGTACACCACAGACTGCTAATTTGAAATACAGAATATTATATTCTGTATTTTTAGATAATTATAGCGCAAGTGTAACGGAGACCTAATATACTATTAATAATTTGATAAACATTGTCACTTTGTCATTTTAATCAGCCAAGTGTATTTTATTCTCAGTAATTGGGTGCAGGTATATTCATATGTGGAGATAATAGCTACTTTCCTTCCTTGAAACCTTCTGAAAAACCTAACTGTCCACTGGGTGGCACTTGTAAGACTAATTAAGACCTGTATTAATAGTGGAAATATCCGAATCACTTCAAAAAGTATGTTTATTTTGATTTCTAAATAGGATATATTTTTCTCATCTATACTGTATGCATTTTAGTCAACAGTTGCTGGTGAATATTCGATTTTTTTGGATAAATACTAATATCAGGTGCGTGAAAATTGAACATAATAAGTTGTTTTATCGCAATGAAAAGTGTTACAAATGATTTCATAATGTCAATCAGTCCTACGAAATGAGCCTTTCTGCATATATATATATATATATATATATATATATATATATATATATATATATATATATTGTCTGTTTGTTTGTTTGTTGTTCACATAGCAGCATAATTCATGGCTCTATTAACTAGGCAATTTTTTCCACGGTAACTATAGAAACAGTATACAGATTTTCACTCATTCCTGCTGGAATATATTATTTTGAAGTAGTCATGGTGCTGGAAATAACCAGTTAGATTTAAGTTTATTTGACAGGTTTGCGTACTACTGCATCAGTTAACATTTAAGCAGGCAAGTGATATGGATTATCATTCATAACAGAGTTGCAGACGTAATGCACGAATGTGTACATGAAAATGGAGTTACCTTCAGAATAGAATTGGTGACCATGAAAGATGCTGTTAAAGCATGAACTCTAAGAATAAAAAAAAAAGTGTTTTGGTATCATAACCATGGTCATAACCATGTGAGCATAAATGAAAATATGATCTTAAACCCAATCTCTGTTGTTACTGTATCATAAACAACTAGTATATTATCAGATAGATGAGAATATACACTCGCATTACTGAAGATAGATTTCATAACAGAGTGTGCACAGATGACTTCAAATATACTTCCAAAAGAGTTTTCTCATGTACTCGTTATGTTTATTTCAAACAGTGCAATAGTCTTTGGTGCATCAAACGTTGCTTTACGCAAACGAGAACCATAAATAAGAAAAGTTCATTACTTTGCGATCTAGTACCAATCGTGGTGTTTAAATCGTATTTTGCATATGCTTACCTACCAGATATGTCCAAGGATGGTTAAAGAACAGCTGGGTGGAAAGGAAGGTAAAATGATCGGATCAAGAAATGAGATGAGATCATGATGTTACTAGCTGTTGAGCTTTAAATTATAGGAGAAAAAGCAGCTGGAGACTACACAAGGTTTGAGCATCCTAATCATCTTTCTTCCTTTTTATTCTGTCTTTGCATGTTAATTGATCTCCTCTCTATCACCAACGTAAAATTTAGTCACTCAAAACAGTGCCCTCTTCTGTGATGATATGCGTTAGTATATTATTTCATCTGTGGAGAAAAGGATAGCACAAGATGAAAAGATGAGAGGTGGAAGGAAGTATTCATCTGGAAATCAAAACAATGACTAGTTAATTTCAATTCTTTCTATCCTGGTATTTCACCTTGAATATTTCATTATCAAACAAGATTACCTTGTCAACTTCAACTGTGATGGGATCAATAAAACCTATCCTTTGTAAAACAGTTTTCATACTCCAGTTGTTATCGTTTCTTTTCTTTTCAAATTTTCTATTCATACAGAAGTTCATTAGCAAAAGCAGATTTAGATGAAAGAAAGAAGGAGGAGACGGAATGCTTAAAACGATTGAAGCAAAAAGAAGTGTTGAATACAGTGAAAGAAACTTTAGGTGGACAGATTATATCGCCTAAAAAGATAATCGAATCTATCACAGAAGAACGTAGACGTCAGCTAGTGTAAGTACTTAAAGTGGAAATGAAAGAAAATTCCTGTTTATCAAAGGTTTGAATTTTAATTTTGAGAAAGAAATGTTTGTAACTTTTATAATGAAGCAGTTAGTTTGCACATAGAGTTTTGAAGGTAGTTCACGTTATATATTGGTGCTAGTGTAACTAGCAAAGAGAAATTGATATGTACTAAAAATGAGTCAGGAATAAACATTAAATAATTGAGTCTTTTCCTTCAATATTCGGTTTTTAGTCTGTATCAGCTGGCAGAATCTGGTTAGCTTCTGTATGGTCTCAATTAAAGGTAACTACTAATCGAAAAATAATGGTCATAATCAATCATTCAACAGCCATATGACAACGCCACATGCCAAGTGATTCACAACACAATAGAAAGCTCAGTGATGCCGCTGAAGTGAAGACAGGAAGGAGTAAGACAAGGTTACCGCCTACTGTCACCACCGATCATCTTCTTGATCGTGGTCAACTCGACTGAACCGAACCGGACCGGACTGCATCATGCAACAGACAGCTGTGAGGAGCTGTGAGAAGAGGGACATACGCTGGCTGCACCGATGAAAAGACACTAGAAGATTTGGATTTCGCTGGTGGTGATTCATGTCTAATGTCTCATCTCACAAGCTCGATGATCCACAGGCGAAAACTAACATGTTGATAGAAGGGGCTAGGCTAGGCGAGGCGAGGCGAGGTGAGGCGGCGAAGGGAGACAGGATATCCTTCAGGTGAACGTAGAGAAGACACAGGTGATGAAGATACCCAACCGTCACCACTACCACAAACAACAACAAGAAGCACCAATCACCATGAGCAGGAGAAATCTAAAGGAAGTTAACTCTTTCACCCACCTCTCCACCTAGGCAGCATCATCTCAACTGCAGGCGGCAGCATAGATGAGGACGTCGAAGCCATGATTGGGAAGACAGCTAGTCAGGTCATTAATCTGAAATCAGTGTGGAGGTCCACTGCACTGCACTGCACTGCACTCAGCATAAAGTGTGAACAACATCCAGATTTTCAACACTAATGCCAGTCAAGTCAGTGTTTGTGTGTGATGGTTCAGAAAGCTGGCGCATCACGAATAGTATTTCCAACAAACTACAGATATACATCATCAACAGCTGCCGCATACGCTCACTCGATACTGAAGATCAGATGGATGGCCAGAAAGAATGAACAACAAGGAACTCACTGTGGCTGGCGACGAACCAACTAGGAACCCATTGCCCAACAAATATGCAGAAGAGAGTGGAGATGGATTTGGTTGAGTATGTACTGAGAAGACGGTTAGGGGACATCACGCGTCAGGCCAGGCCAGGCCAGTCGATCGAGTGGAATCCAAATGTGAAATGATGAGTTAAGCATCGGATGGTGACATGGAGGAGATGGTGCGTGGAATAAATGAAGGGTTTTGGGCAGTGGTGGAGGCAGGTTGAAATGATAGCAGAGAAGATAATGAAATGGCGGCGTGCTGCTAAGGTCCTATGTTCCACTAGGAACCGAAGGGAAACTTTATAATAGTATAATAATAATAATAATCAAAATCAGTCTATCCTCTGTTTTTGTTTATTATGTAGCTATTAATCACTGGGGATCCCATGGTTAGACAAAGACTACAAGTACATTGACCGTTCAACCATTAAAGCAAATTCTAGTATTTACTATTTTTTATCTGGGTCGCCATGAATAATCCAGAATAATCCATTTGCAAATTTTAGTGGTAATAAAACAGAATACAGCAGACTTCCACTGGTTACCTTATTTGTGTTCAGGATGATCCTCAGTGTTTTTAACCGACGAGTTCATTAAATTCCATGAACATATTGTTTTGATACTCGTAATCTTCTCCGTTGTTTTACAGGGCTGAACCGTTTGACTTCTGTTGATAGATGGGCCTCTATGCGGATGCTTCGATACTGTTAGATGTTCGTTGCGTTATATTCATCTTGGTGACCAGCAGTGGAATCCAAAACGTGCGTTTCATCCTATTTGGAAGTCATTCACTGGATATAATCGCCCCCAGTGAGTGATGTTGTTCCCACTGGAATTCAAATCCAATACCTATCAATTCAAATTCTTAGGTATTGTACACTGGGTCACTGGGACACAAGGCCTATAAGCATCAAAGCAAAAACGACACAAGTTGCACAAGAAATGGCTGTCGTTCCCCAGTGGCCTAGTGGATAACAGTATCAGTGAGAAAAACATCATTCACTGAGGTGCACGTACATTCAACTGTGGAGTCCCAAATAGGACGAAACGCGTGTTCAGGATTCAACTGCTAGTCATGAATATAAAGTCCACATTTATACAAATTCACTGTATTTATACTGGGTGATGACTGAAGGCGAAATGATAATTTGAGCCGCTGTCGGATTCGAATCATACTCGGTACTTCAACTGTTCCAAAATATTCGTAAAAACTATGGTCTGGATGCTTATATTCTGTAATAGGGATAGAACAAGTTGACTGAGATAATGTGAATGCTTTTTCGATTGCTTGATATAATTAAAATAACAAAACATTCAAAGAGAAAGTAATAATAAAAACGTTAATAGGATGAAAGATCAGTTGACAAATGGGTGAGGAAGGTGGAAATGAAGTAATAAGTCCAAGGTAAAAGCAGTGACTGTGTGTACTTTTTTGTTCATAGTTATTAGACTGTAGTTTATGATCTGCTGAGGCTTCGACGTTTGTAGGAAGTTCAAAACGTTGTCAATTTGAGTGACCTTGATACACAACTTTTACTTCGCTGTCTGCGTTTGTTGAGTAATGGAAACTCATCAAATATTGTGGAACAGAACTTCTAACAAAGTTTCACCTTTAGGAAATTAAGTTAGGACTTATTCTCATATACATGTTGAAAGCATGAACTGTTTACAACCAGTGACCAAAATACAAACTACTTTATAACTTATAAAAATGATGAATTACATGTGATTATTTTCAGTTTTGTTTTCATGCTCCTATCAAGTTTTTCTGTAAATCTGTAAAGCATTTCTGTTGCACAATTACATTGTGCCCGTAAAAAAACGCATTCCAAAAGCCATATCACTAATCAATGTGTAGCTCGAAATGAGTTGAACTGATGTGCAGAATACGTTTTTAATAGGTAGAATAATCAGCAAAAATGTCAAAAGTGTAGTCTGTCTGTGACTGGAATTCAATCTCAATTGAGAGTAATTATGGTGTTGAAAAAGTAGTATGAGGTTTGTCTTCTTAGTTCACTTGTTTTCTATTGATTTGTGGATTTTACATTTTTGATCTTGAATTTCTATTCCCAGTCAACAAGATTTAGCCCGTCAAGCTGAATATAAGCGTGAGCTGAATGACATTCAACAACGTGTTGCATCAAAACCATTACTGATAACTAAACAGAATCAACTGATAGCTCGTAAACGTGCAGAAGCGAAATTTGAAGCTTCTGTTAGACACGCTGGATTAGATCTAAACGAACTACTTGAAAAGAATTTGAAAAATAATCGTCAAGATCAAAAACTGAGTCCAAAAGCTAACTTGTCAAAAGTTCCAGTAGAAGGTAAATAACTTTTTTATCTGTAGCATCATCTTATTATTGATGCAGTTCAGTGTTATAAAAGTAATGTAGAAGTCAGTTGTATCAACTATGAATAAAAGTATATACAAAGAGGTGATAAAGTCAAAAGTTATTGACTAATTCGCTTCCGAAAGTCAACATGTTAAGATTTTAATCTTTAATATCACCATTGATCTGCTGAACAAAATATCACTATTGTAATGAGTAGGACTGCTTTGTTTGAAGCAATAGGTATGAAGGTTCAGTCCTATTCAAAGCAACAACATTAGGTGCGTTATTTCTGAATGCAGTGAAATCCATTTGTGTGAGCGCAAAACCTGATAACTGCGATAGAATAGAGTTTTATATAAGATTCGTTCATTCAATATAGAACACACAGATAGTATTATATACTTCATGACATTCTGAATTCAAATTATTACTCATATTTATATGAAAAAAACTATAAAACTTTTGGCATCTGAATTTTATAGTCCTTTCACTTAACATTCTTTGTTTTTAGCAGTACCAAATATTGCTACATCTCTGGTATATGTGTTCCATTCCGATTATATATGTCGGGTGTTAGTTCGATGAACAAAGATTTGATAATCGACTTCTCTGTCTTTCTATCTAACTATATTGGACTTTATTGTAGTTGCTTTATCCTACCCTTTTGTATAGCTGTGTTAGTTCATGCATTACGATAGCTGAGTTTTTTTCAAGATTACTGATATCAGTAGGGTCTGTGTGATATACTATGAGATAGATGGTCTAGTCATGAAGCTTTTATTCTCTTTCTAGAAACAAAACCTTTAACACATACTTCATAAATGTATAAACAACATTTATAGTGCACCAACTATGAGCAAAAACTAAACTTTTATTATAAGAAAAGAGAAGCAAAATTCTGAATCGCATAAAGTTAGGCAATAAAATGTATAATTTGATGAAATAAACCAACCTGGTGTAGTGAGCAATTATGCAACAAATAAATTAGTCAGTTGTCTGTGTAGTTGACAGCCATAATTGATTGTCAGTAACAGGCATCTGAGTGGTTAATAGCTTTGCCATTTTTGTCTAAGAATTCAAAAATTTGATGAAGGTTGTAAGGTCACTATTCTTATCTTATTTTGATTGTAGCTGGATGACGAAAGTCCAATAATAGCCTCACTGATGTCAACGTAACATAAACCTGTGGCGTTATTTATAATTATTTTCAAATGTTTAGATCTTAGCTCCTCAAGAAAAAAATTACTTGTAATTGTATCTATCGCCAAAATCTTGTGTATGAGTCGACGACTTACTTGGAACACTTAAATATGACATTTAATAAGAGTTTCATAAGTCTGTTACTGCATGAAGGTTAAAGACGACCTTGACAACTTTATTCAGACAATTTGTCACTGAATTTCTGTTCACTATTTGAATGTAATACGAGATGAACAAACACTTTTTGGTTATACCTGCCAATGAAGTAATTGCAGGCGCCTTCTAAAGTTATTGATTTAAAATGTTACAATGATGAAAAGAAAATATTTTCTGTTATCATACATATCTAGATTTATCACTTACTTCTTAAAAGTTGCTTACATTGGCAACTCAGTGGTTTTCCATAATGTCACCCGCCCCTGAACCTGCTTAACTAGGTGACAAAACTTGGTTAAAGTATCTTTGGATATTTAGTAGTTACCTTTTATTGTACATATTTACTCCAGCAATTGTATGCTGTTAATACGTGCTAATTTCTGAATTATTTTTGATATGTTTCCTTTTTACCTTACAGTTTATGACCCTAAAAATCATTTTGGTGACCTAGGAGACGGCTGAAGCTAACAAAGGAGACAGATACATTAGTGTCTACATAAATTTATCATTTTAGTTAAAAGTGTTTTATCGTTTACTTCACTTATTCTTGAAATCATTGTGACAAAATTTACACATTATTTTATCTTATCAGAATTCAAGTACTTTAACTGATTTTTTTCGGAAAATTGCAACAAATTTTATGTATCAACACATTATAAGTTCTGTTGACCTTCTTTTCTTACATTTGGTACTGATTCCATTAACTTTTCCTATTCATATAATGTCCACCTACCATAAAAAATTTAGCAAGTAAAGTCAACCTACTTGTAGGTAGTTAACTGTTGAGGTCAAAGGATTTTATTCAGTACTGCAAAGCTGTTACAGATAACATACAAGTGTTAGCGTTGAATATATGAAGTTTATGTATAATTTCTTATTTTTATTCTAAATGATATTTGATGGAATATTTTGCTACCGGGTAAGAGATGATATTCTTTTGGTTGACTGAGTGTCATTATCAGGTAATCGCTTTCTATTAAAAACACCGCGAATCAACTCCGTTTATACTTTCTATGTAAGCAGTATTATATTGTTGCTAAAAATCTGAACGCTCCAGAGACGTTACAGGTGAATTTCAGTTTGTAGTAGAATGCTGCTGATATTTCTGATTTTCTCCTCAAGTATGATTCAACAACTGACCTTTATTAGAATGTGCACCGACCCGAGTAAATCGAGCTGTTCAAGAAGTCGTGACCGGTGGAGCCAAGCCTTATGGCCGTGAGGATAGATACTCAACGATGACATTGGGTAGCGGTTGCGCTATATCGTGAGCTAACAGAAGTTGGAAATATGGGGCGTTGAATCCTGACCCAGTGGCTTGAAGGTAACGCCCAGGCCGCGGAACGTGGAGGTCGCAGGTTCGACCCCTGGCAGGGTGGGGTCCTGGGTGCGCACTGCTGAGGAGTCCCACACGAGGGCGAGACAGCTGTCCAGTGCTCCCAGGCTTCCTTTGTTCCTCCAACTGATATCAGTCCACGATGAATAACAACTTGAAATAATCCCATTATTCTATAGCATTAATCATATTCGCCTTTTAAATAGTTTTCCTGAATAGTGCTGTTGTCTGCAGCTACTTTTCACAGTGACTAATCTACACCTATTGATTTGTGAATAACGATAAAGTTAGGGATCTGAAAGTTGCTGCTGTTGATATTTTGTTACCACATCATCGATGTGGGATTCATATCCACAGTTTTCATCACACAATCACACGATGAAGAAATGACATTGATCTGGTTATCTTAAGACTGAGAAAAAGTTCACTTTTAGTACTGCTGCTTTCCCGGATTTCATCACCTTTATGGACTTCAGCTTACGTCAGACGGTTCGTATTCACTAGTAGTTCTGTGTCTTGGCTGCTGGTGGTATATCTGAACAAGTTGCAGGTAGTAGTAGTGGTGGTGGTCGATCCAAGAGTTTTCTGAAGTGGTCAGCCCGTCGTTTCCTTCGTTTCCTTTCCTCTTTAGTGGTAACTATGTTTCATCCACCATCTCTAATTGATTTCATCGATTTTCATTTCTTTCTTCCCAGATAGTAACCTGGCTGTATGATATAATGTTATCAGGTCCCCTCTACCTGCAGCCTGTACCACCTCATTTGCAAGTGTGTTGTAGAAGTGTCTTTTGTGTTTGCGAGCACTCTTCTTCACTTCCTTGTCCAGTGTAGTGTTTTATTGGTTGTATTCAGTTCCTCTTTCCGTTGTTCAGCCTTCCACTGCACTGGTTCATCTTCTCCTTCACCACCAACATCACCATCACCACCACCAGCATCATCACATCTTCCTCTCCCTCGTCTATCTGCTTCCATGTGGACATTCGTCGAGATCCACTCCTTGTCTCACCCCGTCTTCTTCCTTCCTAACACGGTTATGCAGGCCGCCTTCCACATAGCCTTCAAAGAGTTCCAGTGTTCTTCCACACAGGTTTCTTCACGGATCTTGCTCAACATCTCTCATCTTGTCCTGATCATTGACTGACGTGAAGATTTCCTCTGCAGTTACATCCTTCAGCTCAGTTTCTGTTCTGGGTGTTCAAATTGAACTGTGGCCTAACATCACCAACTTCTGTGAAGGCTTTCAACTTGATTTTGAGGGAGGGAGGGAGGGAGGTAGGTTCCTTGTACTGGATAGTGGTGTGAGTGGTGTGAACCACCTACATCTACTCCCCTTCTTCATCTGATCTTGTGTCCAGTAGACTGCGTCTCCACCTCTTTCACATTGAGATGAAGTCGATCTGATTCTCAGTGTAGAGTGTCCATCCTGTGAAATCAAATCCATGTTGCTTTGTGAATATCCTTGTGTTTGTACACACTGCTTCCAATCACCAAGTCATTGAGTGCGCAGATGTCTGCAAACAATTCTCTATTCTCATTCCTCATTTCATCGAGAGCTTCTCGACTTGAGATGAGTTCGCTTCGTGTGTTGTCTGCTCCCAGTTTGGCATTGATGTCAGGCATGAGGATATTGATGTCGTCAACTGGAGTGTGGCGTTGTGGAGTAGTGATTGCAGTAGTCTGTAGAATTCCTGCTTCCTCTCTTGATTTGCATTAATTGTAGGTGCATAGCGTAGCATTGTATGCATTGTATGATTGTGAATTCCCTTCCTTCTGAGTTGAATCTTGTTGTGATGATCGTAACACTGCAGGAGGAGATTGGTTCCCACTGGATGACAGCCATCGATGCTTTTGGGGACATCATGATAGCCACTCGAAAACTCAGTGTGCTCGTTGTTGTCGTCCGGGTGACAATGTTGGAGTAGATTACTGACTGTCCAGTTGACACTTTGGATAGTCCACTTCCATTCCATCTGCAGATTCCTAGCAGTTCTCTGCCATATGTTCTCATCTGTTTTGCCATCTAGCCAGCCAGCTTCAAACATTATGCAGACATTCCATGTCTCGATTCTTAGTTTTGCGTTCATCGAGATAAGGGAAGATACATCGGCCAATTGGCTTCCCGAAGGTTTTCACCAACCGGCGTCATTTTGTCTTCACGATTCAAAGGAGGAATGAGTTTATTTTTATTTTTAATATTTTCTTTGTGCTTTGTAGCGATTGGATTTGTTTTACGGGGTAGGGTTTCTAGCCCTATGCCTAAATTTCTCTCTTTGCCTGGGCTTAGGACCGGTTAGTAACTAGTGAAGTATCCAACCAGGCGAGGTCGTCATCAGCTGACTTACATTTCAAATGTAAGAGACTACGCTGTAATATTCATACCTTAATTCTGTCTCATATGAGCGGTACTACGAGTACATTTGTGACTTTGGCTGCACTTTGTTACACTAATTACTTTGTAATATATATTTCTCTACTTAAGATGGTAGTTACACAAAGAAATTGGTTGGACAAAAAACTTTACTGTTAGCTTTATTGCTTAAGGCTTTCTGTTGTAAACTTTGACATGTGACGTAAAATTTGTTTGTGGGTGAAAATAGTTTAGTAAATTGTGCTGCTGTTTGTCCATAATTGATTCTTTACGAATGTACCTTACAATTCTTTTTTCTCAAACTTATTAAACATCCCCTTAATTTTTAGAAGATATTTAAACAATTTTCAGATGCCTTGCACTATATATACACTACAGTGGTTAGGGTGAGAAAAGAGAAAGCATCTACAAAATAAGATACAAATGATTCAAGCACATTCATTCAGTATGAACAGTCCGCTGAAATATAAATGTAAGCCGTGATTGTTACAAAAAGCTGTTTAAAGATGCATTGATGTTCATTACTAATTTACCGCTGTACAACATGTAATGTAAATGTCAAAGGAGTTTCCATAAGTGTTGTGTCAAGAAAACACAATGTAAAAGAAATGTAACTGGTGAATATAATCCTTTTTTTTTTTTTCAAACCATTACTGGTGCAGCAGAACAGTGTTTTTTTTCATGATGATGTAAATTAATGTTGTGTAAATTTTACATGCATCAATATTCGGAAGATCTGTGCTGATTTTTAGAGTACTGTTTAAAGTGTTATTTTCCTTCTAGAAAAAGACGACTTGTTATTTAACCCACAAGTTGTATAACTAATTAGTGAAATTGAATAAAGTTAGTGCTTGTCACAGACTTCAGTAAATTAGGAAAAAAAAAGAGTTTTTCGGAATACGATGAACTCATGATATTTAACCGCCTTGTTTTTTAGCTGTGTACACGCTATTTGAATACAGGGTCTGTACATACCGTCATTCGAATTTTCCTAGTCTGTACTAATTTTTTTCTATTATTTTTCATCAATTTATTTAAAACAAGTAATAAAAGTGTGAAAAAGCAAGCCTTGTTGAATCCACAAGTTTGATAGATATCGTCAGCCGATAATTTACTCCATCTCTGTAATCTAACACATACATTTAAGTAAGGTGACAAAAGAGATGATTATTAAGGCCAATAGATTGTTTTCTTCTTAACTAGATGGTGCTTAATTTTCGAATAACGATAGAACAGAAGAAAGAATCAGTTTTGTTCTTTCGAAGAGAAAAATAATGGTTTCAGTATTTACTAACACACTGATGTGAAGGATAAAATGAAAACTTGGATAATCTAGTCTTATTTGTCTGTTTTCTCATTAACGACGCCAAGCACTTTATAGATATTATAACAATGTTTGTAATGATACTGTGTGCTTGAACCTTTTGAGATTTCATCCTCGTGAACATGATAAACTACTGGGATAATTTTCTACAACATTAAGTTAGAGGTGTACTTTCTAAGTCAGTGTATTCACTACCACAAAAACAAATTAAATATGGTGACAAATACTGCTGTTTTATTGTTTTCCGTAGCTTTATTGTTTTGTGTCCAAGAAAACAACAAATTAGATGTATATTTTGCAAATTCCTTCAAATAGTTTTTAATTGCTTGATGTTAGTTATCTGTTTTGAACTGTAATTTCATATAGACTTGATACTTAAGAGCTGTGACAATTTCTTACTTTCTGATATATCTTGGTTACACATGTATGTGACAGCGGACTCTTGAATAATAACCTTAGACTTCGTCCCTGAGAATCGCTTGAATCCCTCAAAACAGGAAAGGACCGGCGAAATGATTAATGGTTTATTGTCAAGCCAAAATAGAGAACAAAAAACGCATCCTGATATGCATTATCCATTATCTTCGATCATAACCAAACGGCTCCGTAATTTGTTGAAACAGGAAGCCGTATGTCTTTTATATTTTAGTTCTTAGAGTTCTGAGGTGAAATTTCAGCACAATGCTCATATGCGTCTGTGCGTTACTTAATTTTGCCATACTGACATTTGCTTACTTGCTTACCTATTATTATAACAGTGTAATGGAAAACCCAATTTAAGTGGGAAAATTTCATGGCGATTAATGAAAAAAATTGAAAGTTAGCTAACTGTTCAAATATC